ATTTTGTTCCAGCATGTTCATCTAGAATCCGGCATACAATGGGATATCCCGAATTGCCGAATAAGTGTTTTTCTCTGGTAGTTGTACTTTTATTTTTTTTTATTTTTATTTTACCATTATTTTATGAATAAAAGGAAAACTGTTGGAAAAAAAAATACACTCATATTTAAGTTTATGTATTATTTTGCTTTCTTCGTGTCCATTTGTGCGATCACTTATGGTTATCGTATTTTTTTTTGTTCATTGAACCAGCTTGATGATTCATTCAAAGGTGCATAGATTTTGTTTCCCTTTGAAACGAATACATTTAAATACTTATTTGTTTCTGTCTTGTTATTTCAGACTTGACTCATGCACGATTTTTATGGAAACTATCTCTTTTCTTGTAATCGAAGACGAGACATAATCGCAAAAGTATGAAAAGATAAGACGACGTTTCCGGTTTCTGATCGACAAACTCTGAATAATGAGCGTAGTAAAATGAATGTTTCCGTCCGTTCATAATCATTAGCTCACTATATATAACGTTCAGGACTTTCAACATGGTCATCTTGACATTTTCATTATCTACTCATCGTTGACACTTCATCATAATCTCTGTGAATGATGTTTAACATTTAGATGTAAATCGGATGATTATTGTAGTAAGTCTTAAAATGAAATGAACGTGTGTTAGTAATAATACTGTGAACGAACGTGGCTAGTAAGAGGATGAATATCAGCCCTGAAGCTCAAGCCATGCATAATTATAAAGTTAGTCACTATAAAATAGAGAACGAGACCAGTCGTGGTATCTCCTTTTGATTCTGTTAGAAATTAGTTCTATTTGAGTCTCTGGTAACTGATAAGCAGTTGTAAAACTAAACTAAATTAAAATAATAATATTTTTACGCACGAAATATTTAACTGCAGTATTAAAGTAACGCAATAGACTTACTTTATATACATCTCTAAAATCTATCTTTAAGTGCAACATATATCTCTCATGGACTAATGATCATGCGTGAAATTGAATTATCTCATACTTTTTAAATTTTGACAATTTTAATGACCTTTCTAATTAACGCAATGTGAAATTTTAGGGACTTACCTTCAAAATATGTTTTTTTTGCTGATACTTCAGTAGATTCGATTTGTTTCAGCGTGTTCCAACCATTCCGATTGATTGACATTAATATCAACGGAAAGTATCAATTTATCAATGGCTAATTGAATAGTGATAAAACCTTGTTCTTGTTTGTATATTCTATGTATAACTTTAAATGCTCGATTCAACGACAATCCAATTGGAATTCATATAGCTGCGCAATTAAATTTCGATAAAAATTTAAAATATAGCCTATAGAATGTAATTGAAAGAAATTGACTACCGATTTTTATTTGTTCATATGAAATTATTGTTTGTTGCCGTTAGTAAATATAGGCGGTTAAACAAGAGAAGATAAAAACTACTGTTACACTAGACGATACACTAATAAACAGAACATACATATCCAGTAAAGAATTTAACTTTTTCTTCATTTTTTTGTCGGAAACAGACTAAATGAGTCAATGTAACTTTCAAATTTTAAATAGTTCTATGAGACTTTAATCTGCTATTTACGTTTGATATTTGGATGATACATAACTATCAATAGAAATGAACCTTTACTCTTGTCCCTACAAAACTGACTTCTAACTCTACCATAGTGTTATGGATCGATAACAATGGCGATTATTTTCTAGTATTCTTTGCCCAGTCATAGATGTAATGAAACATATGTGAACAGAATAAATAAATTTTTGTACTCTTTACATTTCGTTAAAATGGAATCTAATAATATTTCATTTCAATAATTAAAGTATAGTATATAGTAATATCGAGAAAAAAGAATCGAAACAGTTGTTAAACTTCAACTAACTATAAAATAACGCCCACCTTTTCTGTTTTTCATGTCTTGCACTTTTTTCTACCAAAGAAGTCATTTGGATTTGAAAGGAGGTTATATACAGGATCTGCAGATATATTAACAACATTTTCACAAAATATCGTTTTTCACTAAACCACAGTTAACTAGAAACAGTACTAAATCTGCATGTTAATTCTCAATTACAAAAAAATGTTTCTTTACTTGTACTTCAGTTATTGATTGTACGTACTTTCGCTAATAAAAAATAATTTTCGACTTTCCAAAGAAATTTGATTTGGAATCAAATATGAAAAAAATAAATAAGTATAAACAAAATGTTACATTTTTTTTCCGAAGTAAACTGAAATCTTTCTTCAGATAAAGCATGCGTTTATTCCATCATTTGTCTTGTATAGATATTCAGACCAACCAACAAAGTGAGCGAGAGAAAATGACGTTCTTAAAGGTGAAAAGAAACACAAGGCACGCTTAAACATACACACAAACACACAAACACACATTGGCAAAAGAGAGAAATCGAGAAGTAGACGATATCAAAAGAATACAGGTAAAAAAAGTAGTCAAATAATTTATCTCTCGTGTGTATTTTGTTCAATTTTTCAAATAAAAAAAAATATACACTCATTTGTCTATTTTGTTTGTTATTAGAATTAACAATAAAGATTTGTTCTATAATTCATTTGCATATTTGTGAGTCCATTCTCGCGCTAAATGAAATATAAAATATAAACAGTTAAATCAATATAGTATTTACTCTAAAAGAGCTTCAAATAACAAAAGTGCTCAGGAGAGACCAAGAAGAAAACAATTTCACAAGTTATTCCTATTAAAAGAAGAAAGCTATCTTATCGTAATGATAGTTTGTGTAAATACTCATTTGCTTTTCTTGAAAGAAATAGTAAACAAACAGTCACAAAATCTTTCACTGAACCTGAGCTAGAAATCACAGGCGAGCCATTGAGAAGCTGTGGAAACGAATTTATTTGAGAAAGTTAAAAGTAAATCGATCTCTCTTAAGGAAAACTGTTGTGAATTAATTAATTTTATTACGCATTGAATTTTTCACCTTGATTTACGATTTCTATCACGATTATAGAACAAATTCCAAATCCTTGAAGTTTGTGAAGACTCTCAGCATTTCATTTCCATGCCTTTTTACATTTCAGAATCTGTGGAGACGTCATTACCACTGACCCACAGTTCCGCCGCCTTTACTAGAAATTTCTTACGATAATAGTAATTTTCTTAGATCATCCTGTATCTCAACAATCAGTGATGTTTCTCTTAGCTAGCTATTAGCCAGGAGATGCCTACCTATCATTTTTGCTCCGTTTTCATCTGCTTTCCATTTTTCTGCAACATCTGCATCCAGAAAGTCATCGGGGTTTGGCGTACTTAATAATGCTTGTATTGATAATAAAACCGTACGAATTTGTAATGCTGGGCTCCATTTTTCTACAATACACAAAACAAAAACATGAAATAACTGTATAGTAAAAAATTTAAAATGAATAAGTTAACAGATTTACCTTTCAAAATATCAAGACAAACGCGACCTAATTTATCAATGTTCGGATGATACAGTTTTGTCATAAAACGTACTTTTGGTGGAGCCATTGGGTATTCGTCCGGTAAAAATAATTCAACTTTAAATTTCCCACCTTCATACGGGCTCTAGATAATCAGAAAAATACCAGTCCTAGTATGTTTCATCAGTAAGAACACAAGCTGTTGAGTGTAAAGGTCGAGTCGTGGTACAGAAATTAACAGAAAAAGAGCAAAACTACCATGCATACCTCACTTGGACCGTCGATCACGACTTTGAAATATCTTGCATTTCCATCGTCTGGAATTGCTGTTATACCTGGTACGGGCTCTTGTATAAGACGTGATGTTTCCTTTCACAAGAAACAATAAAAAAGCTTAATATTTATGTATATTTAGTTCAAAACCCTGATATTTGCTTACTTTGACTATACGTTTGGTTAAAGCACCAGTATCAGCCATCTAGAAGAGCAAGCAAACAGCTTTATAGACAAGACCATTGTTGTATTGAACACAGTGTTTCTAATAGCAAAGTGTACATACGCTTCGGAATTTAAAAATACGCTGTTTTACGCTTTGCTGAGAAAAGTAGAGGGTATAGTGCACGCTTTGCTATTGCTGTTTACGCTTGGTTTTCTGATAGAACCTTTTTTATATTTAAGAGAAAATAAAAGCCTTTTTAAACTAGTGCGTTATTCTGCTGTTTGAGACAGGATATTTTTTTCTTGTTATACAAGATCAGTGATGTTTTTCTCTATTCGTTGCTAGTAGTAGCAGTATTTATTCACAAAAAGTGAGAGTCATCAAAGGTACCCGATCTGTAATAACAATGACTCTAGCCGATCAAATAGTAAAGACAATTTAACAAAAGAAAATCAGAATAATGGACAGAGACAGATCAAGTAAACAAATGACTATATGAATGTTTGTAATTGTCTGTGTCTGCAAAGTTACTTTCTAGGGAACAGTCTGTATAAAGAAGTTTCTATTTTTCTGCTCTAATTCCTGATGCCTAACTGATTCTTTTTTTGGAATTTGAAACGTTTACGCTTTGCGAAAAAAACAGAGGGTACTCGTACGCTCAGCAGATAAATTATGCTAGAAAAACTGATTCAACAACTAGCAATACCAGTAACTTTCTCAGTTATACATTAGACAAAGTTCTTTTGAGTACATTTAGTTTATGGTGTAAAAGACGAGAAATCGTTTCATCAATATCCGTAAGTTACTCTCAAACTGAGGTGACCACTTGAATCGTCGCTTAATCTTCATTAAAGGTTGATTTAATTCTTGAAGTTTTATCCAAAACTTTAGGCATCGACTTCCTTTTCAGCAAACTTCATCTTGACTCCATGGAATGTGATTTTAAGTTAAGCGTTGGCTAATGTAAGGAGGTCTCCAATCAATGGTGAGAAAAGACCCATAATGGGTCAAACTAAACGTTGACTTGAATTAGTGCTTATATTCATGTCTTATGAATATTGATGAAATTTAAGCATGCACTAAAATAACTACAACAACTAAACCTCGCAACTCTATACGATCATTTTGGACAAAAAATCGAGAACAGATATAATTATATCTGTTCTCGATTTTTTCCGTGTCTTAAGACACAGAAATTTCACTGACTAACAATTAACAAATAGAATCAATAAGAAGCCAAGCCTCTTCACCAATGAATTAGAATTCAATAGTCATGGACGATATCATCGAATTACCGACTTCTTAACTATCACCTGTTTATCGAAATGGGTCCAGTAGGATAACGTACCGGCTGTTAAAGGATAGAATATAGCGTCAATGTCTAAAAAAACTGAGTATATGAGCTCTCAAAAATCTCGAGATCCTAGATGCTTAACTACATAAACATTTATGCATTTGCGGTGGTGTAACGGTTGATCACGTAGAGATCATCTTCGATAGTTTTATTCGTTTTGCTCATTTTTATCTTCCTATCTCTTAAAACCAAAAGGAAATATTTAGCAAAATATTTTTAAGATCAAATTTAAAGAAAATGATTGAGCTGAGGAACAATACTTAAAAAAAACAAAGAAGTACGCGTTTAGACGATGTATCGGTGACCGTACTTTTCGTATTTTGCACATGTTTGGTTTTTTCTTGAATTTTGATGGAGGTTTTCTTCTTATTTGCGAACATATCACCACGGCTGGTCAGAATCACACAGATTGGACTGGTGTCAAAAAAAAGCTTTGGAAACTTTCGATGACTTTTGTCTGGAAGAATTTTTTTTTTGACGGATATGGGCCTAGAATTTTTCGCAGCACAAACTTTTTAAATTGAGCTGTTAAAAACAGCGATAGCAGGGTTCATTTGTTTAACGTTTTTTTAAAATATTGAGCCAAGCTGAAATGAATGTTTACTTTTATAAAAAAACTATATTTATGTTTTGATGTATCAAAATAGAACTGATGAAGTTTACGATTAGGTTATACGTCCGACAAATGATTCAATAAGGGTATACTGTTGACATTGATGGAATAACCAACTACGTACTATGAATGGGTTGGTTATTTCTGTTATAATAACAAACAACGCTCACCATTCTGATTCGCTTGGCTCTTGGCTGTAAGATTCTGTTTCATATGGGTGCGCATGCAACTCTCGAGAAAGTATATGAGCAAAGAAGAAAAGCGTTGGCATAGCTTCTAATAAGGGTGTTTTTAATATCGAGTGAAATGTTTGCCAATGTTTGTTTTTCACAATCTGTACCATTCTACACCTTACAAGTAATGTTTGAAAAGCTTTATTAGGTACCCTAAAACTGCTCTGTTGAAACTTCTAATCTTGCTGACTGTAACCATTCTCAATCAACTTTTCTGAAATATGTGGATTTGTATAATAGATTCTTCTCTTTAAAATATGATACGTTGCTTATAACACTTCGCGTTAGAAAGTTAGAAGGTTTTGCTACAAACCTTTCATATTTAGAACCTTTTTTATATTAATGAATACCTGCGGTGTCTTACACTGATCAGTGCTGCTTTATGTCGAATTTGTTGTATTTGTGCAGTTTTGTAATTGCTTTATGTCGAAGAATCACATTTATATTTCTTACATCAATCTATTTGTTTGATTACTATCTATCTATATTTTAACATGATGTCAAGGATGTACGATAAAGGCATTACTCCAAACTCATCATTATATATTCAGATCATCAGACAATTATAGCTAAATTTGATTTACAGAGTTAAGTCAACTTCGTTGTGTGCATCGTGTGCATCATTGGGCAGAATTTTAAGAGAACGAATTATGGTTTTTGATAAAAAAATCAACGGAATAATAGGAATGATGACAGGTATGACAGACAAATGATCGTATAAAAGTGAGCCTTTAGTGTTTTTCGTCTAATAATACGATATAGTCTGAAATACATAAGTTTCGGTGAATAGCCAACAATTTATTACTAATGATGTGAAGAATATTGAATATTATTTTAACTATAGCACATCATTCAAAATTGAGCGAAAAATGAAAATCTTTTATGAATGGCTCTATTAACAACTACTGTATTTTGACGTTAAAATATCCTAATGTTTTTGCGCCATCAATATTGACTAAGCATTCAATGAAACAATTAAAATCAGATTAAACATCAAAGCTATTAACGTTTTTCCAACTTCAAAATCATCTATGACGTAGACACGTTTTGGCATTTCTCACTCACCATCTGGAGTCTAAAAACTGAATTATTTTTTTCCTTTCACACTAGAACGCAGGTACACTGGCATTGCAAAAGAGCAAGAGAACAGTCCCAATAAACTGCACTTTTCATCCAGTACTTAGTACATCGAGATACCCATCACTCAATCTAGTACATGCAAAGAAATGAAACTGATTTCTTTTCATCTGTTTATGTGCCGAATGGATTTTAACTTGGTGGAAAGAGTGTACAAAAAATTTTTGTTTTAGTTAGAAATAATGCTTTGAGCAGAGAAAATGAGCAGCACAGTATATTATGGCAAGCTACACTCATCCTTTGTACTGGCATTTTCTCTTTTGTTACGAATTTTATTAGAGAAGTGAACTGGCAGACTGACGTTCAAGCCTAACAGAGAAACACTGTTAGCACTGTCCAACCAATAAACCGACATTCAGTTGTTGCGTCAGACAGTTAAAAAAGTGATCAACCTTCACTACCCTCCCCACTGCAGGTCTCATAACTACTGAAAATTCATTTCCTACATTTTTCTGATAGAATGTACCTGCTTCCACAGTGTGATGTTACCCTAAGGGAACTACGCTCAAATCAATCGGGGCAAATGAAGCAATTGTAGAATAATGTAAAGCGCTCCTCTGTGATGTTTGTATAAGAGCGAAAATGTATAAAATCTCTTTTCTCCATTTTATTCCTTTTTTCCTATAATATATATACTTCTGATTCTTTTTGAACCCTTATATATCACACATCAAAGAACACATTAACTGTGTCAATTAATCATAGGTAATATATATATATTCTCTTTGACCTTATCACTTGCTAATATGATCTTAAACAAATAGTAAGAATGATTTTTCATCACCGCTGTCATAGTGGGTTTGTTCATGTATTAGATAGACTAATGATAGAATAGACTCATGAACTATGTTGTAGAACAAAAAAGAAAGAAACAACATATGAAGTTTGCCATTATTTTTTTAAAGAAAAGTGGTTTGGAAGTTTAGATATCAGGAATAGTCAATTACGTTGAAGGAATAGTCAAATACTACTGACACATCTGCAACTGAAAATGTAGTATTTCGAGTGCCTTATTTCGCTAGTGCAGTCGGTCATACGGTAAACGTATTGTCGCAGCAGTCAGCAAAATTTATCCGAAGAAAAAAGTCAGAATTATCTATGATATTAATTCTAAGATTGGATTAGGTTTCAGTCCGACAGATCCAATACCTACTTATCTAAAGTTAGGCCTTGTTTACGAAGCGAAATGCTCTGTTTGCGGTGAGACGTACATAAGTAAAACCTGTCGTCATCTGAAGACCCGCATAAGTGAACATTGGAAAGACCAAGAAAAAGTAATCACGATAAAAACAAAAGAAGTATCTAAGAAAGTTATGAAGACCACTATAGACCGTAAAGACAAAGTGCCAAATAAGTCTCGATCAGGTCCCGTGATACGATTACAAACGGGGAAAGTAAAAGAAGTTGTTCATACATTAGATCAAGACGCCTTTAAGGCTCACTTAGCACTTTGACGAATATAAAGGAAATTTCAATCTAAGTCAGCCATAGGTAAACATTATCAAAATACAGGACATGTTATGAAAGACACTGATCTCCGTATCCTGATGTCAGAACAACATAGATATCGGCTGCTTGTCAAGGAGTCACTTTTTATTCGCTCTGCAGCTTCAGTACTTAATGGAACAGATCGATCTGTTCCATTGTATGTTTATCCCGACGGTATTAAGAGAAACAAAAAGAAGCGAGATGGATGACTTGT